TTGTTTATTTATTATGTATACAGTGTTCTGTTTGCACGTATCCCTGCAGGCCAGAAGAGGGAGCCAGATCTCATTACAGATGGTTGTGAGCCACCATATGGGTGCTGGGAATTGAACTCAGAACCTCTGGAAGAACAGCCAGTGTTCTTAACCTCTGAGCCATCTCTCCAGCCCACTGTTAACATTCTTTGGGGTTAAGAAAGCAAAAGGAACCAGATAGTGGTGGTGCATGCCTTTAATTCCAGCACTGAGGAGGCAGACACAGGCAGATCTCCATGAGTTCAAGGACAGCCACAGTGGTTACACAGAGAAACCCTATCTTGAGAAACTTACAAAAAAGAAAAGAAAAAGGAGAGAGTTGAGTTTTTTTTTAAGACCAAGAATTAAACGCAGTCTTACACAGTTTGAGTTTGAGATGCTTTTTAGACAAGCAAACTGAGATGTCTGGAAGACAGTTGGTAGGGAGCTCTGAATCTCCAAAAAGTGACCAGAGTTGGAAATAACACTTGAAGCATCGTTGAGACCAGAAAATAGAGACAGAAAGTCAGGACCAGGGGGAAGAGGAGTGTATGCATGCTAGTGAAAACCATTAACGGATGCTACAGTTGAAATTTAAAAGGAGAGCTGGGGGCTGGAGAGATGGCTCAGAGGTTAAGAGCACTGACTGCTCTTTCAGAGGTCCTGAGTTCAATTCCCAGCAACCACATGGTGGCTCACAGCCATCTGTAATGAGATCTGGCGCCCTCTTCTGGCCTGCAGTCATACATGCTATATACAAAATAAATAAATGAATCTTTAAAAAAAAAAAAAAAAAGTAGAGCTGAGCTTCTTTGTCAGAGGAATAAGGTGTGTGCATTCTGCCATAATTCTAACTCCCAGAAAGAAGTACATTTATTCCTTCAAGACAGAGGAGTTCCCAGAGTCCACATGTCATTTCTACCAGAGTAAGGATTTCATGGCCCTAAGTTTTGGGGTAGGGCAGACAATCATCCTGGGGCGTCATTTCTGGGGATAGAGTTCAGATATAAATTGGCATATAGTCTCCAGAAAGCTTTGCAAGCCCCAGGAATGTGCTAAAGCAGAAACCAGTCCTGAAAGCTACATGCTTAGTCAGCATTCCCTGCCCGACAGAAACCTACCTGGCCCCATGGGAAGGGAGTCCCAGCCGGCTAGGTCAGGCAAGGCTTTTCTATGGCTTTGGAACTTTCCCAGCATTCCCTTGGGCTGTCCAACGCGCCTGGCGAAGCTCGGGGCTGCTTGCCTGTCTTGATCTCCACGGGTTTGCACAGGGCCGCTCTGTGCTTGGCCGTGTTCTCCCTGCATGGTGACCGCTGCTCCTTTTGTTCAACTTTCCCAACAGCACATGGGACAATGTCTTCAATAGAGCGGAAGGGAATAATGGACCACAGAGGAGCCTGGGAGTGATTTTCACCAGTAAGAGGGACACAGTGACGTCGCAAGGTGGCAGCACTACTTAGACAATGTGGTACGGATGGCTTTATTTCACAGAACAGCCAAGCAACTCAGTTCACTGAACAGACAGGGCCTTCTGTAAAATGTGCATTCATTTGTTGGGGCCTGGTAAATTTCATGAAAGAAAGAAGTATAATTCTGCCATGTATGTGAAATACAGCATTTGAAAAAAACAAGTTGTCATAGGGGTGTAGCAGGAATCTTAAAAGTTCGAGTTATTGGGGTCCATGCTGGTAGATCAGAGGGACAGAACAAGCCACAGCTTCCTCCCCTGGTCAACTTCTCAGCTGATCCTGTTTCCTCAGACTGGAAGCTTCTGAGTCCTCATCCAGAATGAATCCCAGCTGAACTGTGCTGCTTCAAAGCCTGAAAGCTTAACCAGCCAAATGCTTAACCAGCCAAATGTTTAACCAGGCCAAAATGCTTCTAGTTTCTGGTCTTCACGCCTTATATACCTTTCTGCTTTCTACCACCACTCCCTAGGATTAAAGGCGTAAGTCACCATGCCTGGCTGTTTCCAATGTGGCCTTGAACTCACAGAGATCCCAGATGGATTTCTGCCTCTGGAATGCTAGGATTAAAGGTGTGTGCTATCACTGCCTAACTAGTGGCTTTTCTGTTCTCTGACCCCAGGTAAGTTTATTAAGGTACACAATATTTTGGGGAACACAATACCACCACATTTCCTCTCTTTTTGTCTAAAATTAAAGAAAGCTTATAACTAATACAAGAAAAACTATCCAATAAGTATATACAATATATACAGCCAAAAATTACATTAATGACGTCTAGTCCATTAACATTTGACAGATTCAGATAAAAACTCCATTATATATATTAACAATGTCCAGTCCAGTAACATCTGATACTCAGACCAAAAAATTTTCATTACTTATCTTATTTATTTATTTATTTATTTTGGTTTTTCGAGACAGGGTTTCTCTGTGTAGCTTTGCGCCTTTCCTGAAACTCACTTGGTAGCCCAGGCTGGTCTCGAACTCACAGAGATCCGCCTACCTCTGCCTCCCGAGTGCTGGGATTAAAGGCGTGGGCCACCACCGCCCGGCCTACTTATCTTATTCAAAACAAGTAGTTCCTTTTTAAAAATAGATTCTATATAGGGGGGAAAATTAAAAATTAATAAAATAATAAACTTTAAAAATTAATAGAATAAAAATTAAAATGATATTTAAGTTCATAGTGCTTCCTATTTGCTAAGCATTGAGGGTGTTTGTTCGTCTGATGGGGTAGTTAGCCAAGTGTTTGTGTGTGTGTGTGTGTGTGTGTGTGTGTGTGTGTGTGTGTGTGTGAACTTGCATACATGTGTTTTATGGTTTGGGGGCTCAAACTTGGGTCCTTGCTCATGGTGGCCAGCATATCACAGCTGAGCTCTGCCCCCATTCTTCCACACTATTTTAAGTACATTAAAATGTATCACAATTAAATGCACATATTAACTTGTTTGATAATATTATCTTAATTTTATAGAGGAAGAAACTGAGAAGCCGGAAGCAGAAAGGGCCACGAGCCAGAAGATTATTTCAAGGGATGGAGCAGAAAGGAGGATGGAGCGGAGGACAGGGGGAGGAGAAGAGAAGAGATGAGGGGAGGAAGTGGAAGGGATTTAAAAAGTGAGAGTATTCCTGCAAAACAATACAAAGATCTCAATTAAGAAAAAGGACAAAGGGACGTTGGCAGGCCTGGGGAGATGGCTTCCTGGGTGTGGTACACAGTTGTAACCCCAGAACTGGGGTGGCAGAGACAGATGGATCTTTGGGACTCACTGGCCAGCCAGCCTAGTTTACTGGACAAGTTCCAATCCAGCAAGAGACACTGTCTTAAGGGGAAAAATGATGGGGCGTTGAAGAGATGGCCTCTGCTCTTCCAGAGGACCTGGGTTTGACTCTCAGGCCCTACATGGTGACTCATGACTGTCTGTACCTCCTGTTCCAGGGGATCTGAGGCCCTTGTCTGTCCTTCAAGGGCACCAGGCACATACTGGTGCACAGACGTGCACACACACACAAAACATCCACACACATTTTTATAAAGGAAAAATACATGGCACCTGAGGAATAACACTTAAGGCTACCTTCTGGCCTTTACACCTGTGTACATATATGCATGCACACCTGGGCACACACATACACACAAACAAAAATGGGCAAAGGATACGCAAAGAAGAGAAAATTCAAGTAGCTAATAAAAACGTGAAATTTCAGTACAAATCAGGGACATGCAGAATAGAATCGTGAGCTGGCATTCCCCCGCTGCAGCCAACCGTCGCATTTCATCCTGTCAGGACCCAGTGCTGGCACAAACGCTAAATCATTAGAATATTAGTCCACTGGAGTGGCAGCATCCACTGGTCTGGGGACTCTGGCAAACAGTCCAGCCTCATTTAATAAGGGTGAATAATCTCTCACCTTCTACGTCAGTAATCACTTCCTAGGCACATACCTACAAAACATGAATTTCTGGCACGAGGACACACTGACCCAAAAGCAGGTTTACAACTGTCTTTCATTCCAGACCCAGGGGGATCCAACACCTTTGGGTTTCCACAGGTACTGCATGCATGTGGTACTCCACCCCCCACAAAAAAAAAAAAACATGAAGGGGCCGGGCGGTGGTGGCATACGCCTTTAATCCCAGCACTCGGGAGGCAGAGCCAGGCGGATCTCTGTGAGTTCGAGGCCAGCCTGGGCTACCAAGTGAGTTCCAGGAAAGGTGCAAAGCTACACAGAGAAACCCTGTCTCCAAAAAACCAAAAAAAAAAAAAAAAAAAAAACAAAAAACACCCCAAGTACTCTGAGAGCTGAGTCTCATGAAGGCCTCTTTATGTCCAAGCTAAGGAGACTGAGGAAGGGGGATCACAAGTTTAAAGCTTTCCACCCAGGCAAACATAAACCCAACAACAAAACACTTTCAGAGTGGTATCTCTTAGTGTTGTGTCCCTTCAATACAACACAATAGGAAAAAGAGATATGAAAGAACTATTAAGAAATGAAAATAAAAACTTTGCTAAACATAATGTCCTAAGTGCTCACTAATGCTACCTAAAGAGTGCAAAGAGGGCCTGAGAAGATAGTTCAGGGGTAGACCAGTTGCGTAGCAGGCATTAGACCATGTCTTCTATCCCCAGAACAACGACCATCAGTAAAAAGGGGAAATGAATCGTGAATCGAAGTCTTTTTTTTTTTTTTTTCAAGACAGGGTTTCTCTGGGTAGTTTTGGTGCCTGTCCTGACCTCGAACTTGAACTCACAGAGATCTGCCTGGCTCTGCCTCCTGAGTGCTGGGATTAAAGGCATGCGCCACTGCCACCTGGCAAATCCTGGTACTTTTTATACAAGAAGCTCAGTTGGTAGAGTTCACTTCTAGCATGTGTTAAGCCCTGAGCTTGAGCCCAGCCCTGCATAAACTGGACATAGTAGTTCCTGCACTCCTGACATTTGAGACATAGAGACAGAAGACTCAGAAATCCAAGCTCATCTTTAACTACAGAGGGAGTTCCAGTCCTGCTAGTCGATACAAAAGACCTTGGAAAGAAGAAGAGGTAGAAGGAAGAAGAGAAAAGAATGGAAAGGGAGGGAGGACATAGAGATTAAATGCGTATTTCTCACGGTTTGGGGTGCTGCAAGTCTGTGGCCAGGCATCCAGGGTGGCATGTTGAATCCTCTCCCCAATATGCACTGTCTGCTTCATACACCCTCATATGGCAGAGAGCAGAGAGGGGAAGCAATTTCTCCCCTGACTCCTATGTGAGCATTAATCAATCCATTATAATGTGAGCATTATAATAATCAATCCATTAACGAGGGTTGCACTCTCGTGGCCCCATTTGGTCCTCCTTATTTTTATCTTCTAATACCATATAAGAAGGCTATTGCATGCAAATGTTTTAACATCTTTTAGGAACATGTGACATTCAGTAACCATCATAGTTATCCAGATCGATGCACAGGAAAGTTTCAAGGAACTCTGTGCTTCTTATTAGAGACTTCATGCATTTTCTTATAAATGTTTGTCTTATGACCAATGGGAAAAAAATCAGAAGTTACAATGCCCTCACTTCTTCATAGGCATATAATCTTCTTGGTTCCATTTTCTCATCAAGTGTGGAGTTCTGATAGCTGGATCTCATGGCACAGGTCTGCAATCTCAGCTACTCAGCAATCTAAGGAGGGGAATCTCAAGTTCAAGGCCTGCCTGGACTCCAGAGTGAGTTCAAGGCCAGCCTTGGCAACTTACTGAGACCCCCTGCCTCAAAGTAAGTAAAAGCAGGAAGAGAGCTGGGGATATAGGGCCGTGGCAATCAAGTGGTGGTGGTGCACACCTTTAATCTCAGCACTGGGGAGGCAGAGGCAGGCAAATTTCTGAGTTGGAGGGCAGCCTGGTCTATAGAATGAGTTCTAGGACAGCCAGGGTTATACAGAGAAACCCTGCCTTTAAACAAACAAACAAACAAACAAAAACAGTAACAAAAATGCAGATTCTTTGGTCACATTCTAGACCCTTATTTTGGGCTCTTTAGGAGAAGGAGACCTCAAACTGTGCATTCTTCGTGCTGATGCTTGAGAAACACTACTGTAGCATGCCAAGGCAGCTGGCTCCCACACTGGAGGCCGGTTCCATCCCTCCATCCAACCCCAGCTTTAATCACTTCTACTGGAGAATTTTTTTCAAACCAAGGCCAGGCTGAAAAACTGAGAGGCACTGTGTATTGTTTCAGCCTGCGTGTGGGGGAAGAAGGCTGTCCTGCCCGGAACCTTGCTTGGCAGGATGCTCTGTGTGCCTTGAAGGTTCATCTCTGCCCCGTCCCTCCCCTTTGCTCCTTTCCAATGTCTGATGCTTGACTGTTTTCTCCCAGTCATCTTAGTTGAGCTGCTGCGTTCAGAAGAGGCTTTTGCCTGCTCGTCTGCTTTTGTTTTTGAAGTTGAAGCAAAGGAGTCCTTCCTTACGATTTCTTGATGGCTGCTAAAGCTTCTCTATCTATTATTTTTCTGTGATAGCATATTTATTTATTTCCAGCAGTACCTGCAAGACAAAGCTCGGCAGTTAAATCCTTTTCTCCAATAACTCGGTGACATGGAGAAAGTCACG